AAGAAAAGAATAAAGTAGAAAATTTTGCACATTTTGAGAAACGATGTATTTTTTCCAAAAATGACATCTTTCGAGTATTTCGTATTTTTCGACCGGAAGGAAGTATTTACTAAAGCTAAAAAGTTGTTTTTCGTGATTAGCAGCTCGAGCTCTATTAAATAGTGTAAAAAAACGCAGAAAAAAAATTTACTGGAATTTTGCATTGCCGGCAGCTTACATAGGTGCTGCCCACCAATTGGTCAAAGATGATTGGATTCAAAAAATTACGGGAAATATCCCAGATTTGAATTAGAGTTGAAGAAAAAAACCAATAAATAGAAAATGAAAAGAACAAATTTGTAATTCTGTATTATTGTGATTTTTACGAATATATAATTTGTTTTGCTTTCATTTTATTTGGGAATATAAATGATTATTCATCATCGATTGGACTAATATATTACTCTAAAGTAGAGTTTCGTGGAACTATAAGAATGAATGTTCGAATCTAGTGAAATTATAATTGTTTTATTAGAGTTTAATCTTACACTGTAATGTATTAATAAAAAACTAAATAGAAGCGATCTTCTTGTGAAAATATGTCCACAGATAATGCGTAAAAGAGTTAGATTATTTTCAGATTTTGGTCGAAAGAGACTCTGCTATTTTAATGTTTTAATTACTATCAAAACAATTATTATATCTTTTTCAAAGAAAAAAATGATTTCATATGTTGAGAAGAAATGATTTGTGCCAAATTTGATCAACATTTAACAGTCGATTATGATTCGTTTTTTTAGAAAAAAAAATCGATAATGTGTCAGTTAGATAGATGAATAAGTAAAAGTTATTTTTTTCATATTATGCATGCAGCGAATCTTACATTTTTTTGCTAACGCATGAAAAGAGAAGAGTAAAGGCAATTGCTTTAGTCCTCTTACATTAGAGAAACACGTGTAAATCATTAGATATGAGGTATAATAATCGTTATGAAAATAGTTTTCATCTTGCGTTACATGACGCTTGCATAGACCAATGATTTAAGGGGCTGTCGAAATTAATGTAGTGAATATGCAACATGCTTTGACAATCGTTCAAGATGAAATTCAACGGATGGATTTAGAATATGTCCACACTATTTGAAAAATTTAAATAAAGAAATCATCAACAATCAGATCTATCTATTCAAATTTTATTATTATAAAAAGTAGTAAAGAGAAGAAAAAAAACTCATTCAGACAAATATGAATGCATCTCGATTAAGTTTGACTGAATCTAGTCATTGACAATAAATAACACAATATTATACACATGGTTTCAAAGTAGAATATACGATCAATGGTTTAGTCAAAAGAATATCAACTGTAAGAATGTAGGTACAAGTTTGATTGTTGCTCTCCACTTATAGACGTCCATACCCACCCTTTTCATGCAGTATACGAAACGTAGAGTGGATTTAGATGCACAAGAAAATGTGCTATTTCAAATATTTTATATCATTCATTCAGTGAGCTAAAAAAGCAGAAATCGTAAAAGGTTTCTAGTTTTTCACGTTCTTTTTGTGTACTCAAAAAGTGAGTACACTCTAGAATCGGTCAGTGTGTCCGTCCGGCCGGTCGTTAACACGATAACTTTTGAAAGGAGAGTCCGATCGCGATGAAATTTTCTACACAGTTTAGTCTTTACAATATCTCGGTCGAGTTCGAAGATGAGAATGATTGGCCGAGCCATTGCTGAGTTATTGCAAAAATAGTCATTTTTCCCTATGAGAAGATAGGCCCTTCTCTGCTTTCGTAAAAAACTTTTCCTATCATAGCCATATAAACCCCCAACTATTATATACCATTCGATAGAGAATTTCACGAGCTACAAAACAGTATATAAAACATAAAGAAACAACAAGGCTAGCTCACCTATTGCAGAGATAAACAAACGGAAATCGGTTCTGTTTTTGTCTGCGCTCCAATCGATCCACAATTCGAGCTCTATCTTCCGATCACAGAGATAATACTTCGAGGTTTTCTAGGATGAAGAACTCGAATTTGTAATCCACTTCACTCGAAGCCCCATTGGTTGAGCACTGACCAATAGAAACCAAATTATAGGAAAAACGAGTTTTTTAGGATAACTCAAGGCGAAGAGTCCAAATCTGAGCTGTGTTCACTCCGAAATCCTATTGGTTGAGTAGTAGCCAATAGAATTCAAATGTTTATAGAAAGGATTTGCCAGACTAATTTTTATATCCGCACATTCTAGGATGACCGATTTGTCTCATTTACTTTTTGAAGTACACATAACTCTCGGATTTAAATCCGAGGTTTCCACATTTATTCTTTTTTAAGAAAGAATGTGTTATGCCATTCGATGCAGCATAAAAGTTACAATGTTTGCTAAGTGAAAATGTTCATTAATGAAGGTCATTGAAAAAATAGTGAAGATTCTTTTTCTTCAGACTATTTACCTCAAACTTGACAATAAACTAGACTTTTGGTGTCAAATTAAAATATTTTCCCTTAATTTTTTTAGCATTTGGTAGAGAATCAAAAATTACATAGCATATATACAAAATTCACTCTGGGATGTTATGATTTCAATAAGCGGCAGTAGATATACTTAGAAAAACAGAACTTCAATACCTAGTAATCTATTATCATTTCCGCTATTTTTTTAATTTACTAAATGAATCATATACAATATTCAAAATGACTCATTTTTTTTATCATATACATCTGCTATATCGTTTCGTATGCTGCGTGAAAATGTTCTCACTTTTGATGGTAGAATCTTACTAAAGATTTATAAGAAAGTTAATAATTTATTTTTGTTCATAACGGAATGGAGTGCTAAAAGTCGATCAGGTCTAACTTCACTATAACAAATCCAAATTGAACTAAAAAGCTTGGTTCAGTAGTTTTAGATCTTGTACTTTCGAATGTACATAAAAAAATCAAAAATTTAATTTTTAACAAATGCTTCTTATACTGGAATCATGCTCAATAGTGTCGTGGACGCTCTTTGAAATAATTCGTGTTATCTGTCCTCGTAACTTTGCGTGAAATATTAACATTTGTGACAGACAATCTGTTTCAAAGATTTTACGGTGCTATATTTCATGTGAAAGCTACTTCAACCTAGACTATCAAATGCGTAGACTGAATATTCACGACCGTAAACCTCTTAAAATTAGTTGGATATTAAAAATCTCGTGATATTTTTCTTTCGTCCTATGTTATTGTCAGTAACTAATTAGATTTGACTGTCAGCTGTAAACTTATGATTTGTCTAATAATGTTAAAAATTAAACATACTTACATGGTGAATGGTACTGCAGTGACTGGTTATGTTTTCTGTTTCTATCCGTTTTCACTTGTTATTTATAACAAATAAAATCAGCTGGTTTTTTCCAAAATTTATTTGTTTACATGTATCACTCGACCATCACTATTTCATCAAACTGACACTTACTTTTTTTCTATGAGATTTGTAACGCTTATTTTTCGTTTTTACGATGTTTTTTTTATTGCTTTCTAGTTCGTATAGTGTGGCTACTATTAGAAAATATGCTTCAATATTTACATACAGAATACGTTGTACTCTATTCTTCAAAAATATATGTACGTGAAGTGAACGACTGATTCCAGTTTTTCTTCGAATGATTCCGCCAGTTAAGTGTGCTAACTTTGGGCTTTTGTGTGCCAGACAGTGCTCGGCGAGCTCTGTCAAATGATATAATTATATCTAGATGAAAGATCAAAAACAAAAAATATTAATAAAAGGTTTTTTCCATTCTGAGACAATATAACAGAATTGATATTTCCTGAAACTATTCGATTTAGAATATGTACCAGTTTTGAAATTAATTTCATCTGAAGTAGTTCGATGAACTGCATTCAACAATGACTATTGCCTTTTATTCCGAAAGCACTGACAAGGATTTGAGTCTTTTGGGTGCGGGCGTGAGCGTGGGGTGTGGTGTGGTGTGTGTGTGTGGGGGGGGGGGGGGGGGGGGGGGTTTGGTGGGGGGCCTTTTGGGGGGGGGGGGGGGTGTCGGTGTGTTTGGATGGATGCCCTTTTCTTAATCGACACTCACACCCACACCCACACCCACACCCACACCCACACCCACACCCACACCCACACCCACACCCACACCCACACCCATACCCACACCCACACCCACACCCACACCCACACCCACATCCACACCCACCCACACGCACACCCTCAAGTTGCTGATCGACAACATCATTCAAATATTTTCGAGGATCATCTTTGATATTTTGTATTCTTGTTTGAATATCAATGTCATTCCTTTGATCATTTAGAATTCGATCGATACTAAAATCAATTAATGACGATGAAGGCAAGACTATTGTAGATGTTGTTGATGAAAATGGAGCAAGTGTTGTGTCGAAATTAGGTGAGATATTAACCTTTTTAGTTTTGGATCTTGTCGTGATGTTCGATGATGAAGATGTAAATGAAGATGGTACGGACAATTTCGTTGATAGTTGTTTGGCTCTTGATCTTGTAATGACATTGATTTGTAAAGTAGTTATATGATTAGCAGAAGGTTGTGTATAGTGTCGAGCACACATTGGATGTTCTCCATCATCAATATCAGCTTCATCATATGGAAAACGTGATACTAAATCGGCATCACAATTACATTTTCCACATTTATAAGTGATTGTTGTAATGTCGTATTCCGATAATTGTAATTGCCAACGCTCGATTCTCGAATTTTGAAATTTCTTTTTATTAAAACTACATAGTGGGCAATGATCAGTTTCTACCCGTATGGGTCGTCCCCAAATATATTCTTTCAACTTACAAATGCACCATACTAATGCTAAACATTCTCTTTCGGTCGTAGAATATTTTTTTTTGTGCGGCATTAAATTTTTTTGATACATATTTTATTACTTTTGATTCTTCTGGTGTTGTTTGTCGTAAAACACCACCCATGCCGTAACCCGAAGAATCCGTTGATAATACAAGTGGTGATTTATCATCGGGAAAATTGAGAAATACTGGTGATGTTGTAAGTCGGCGTTTAAGTTCATTGTATGCGTTTTCCATTTGTGATGTTCAACCTTTCCAAGTGGCGTTCTTCTTTGTGTAAGGATATAATGGTGC